GGGGGGGGTGCACCAAATTAGCCAGGACCCCCACTATATGTACCAGTCTGTGGTACAGCGTCTGCATCACTGCATATGTTGCCCAAATCCATCAGTCAATCTCATGTTCCACTTTCCCCAGACTCGTGAACAACACCCCGATAATTAAATTAAATTCTTTCACTTGGGGTAGTTATTTGTCCCAGATGGAGTTGGCATTCCACCCTTTCCGGCTGAGAACTATGGTCTCTGACTTGGGGGTGATGATTCTCACACCACTCCAGTGCAAGCTGGAGGTCACCCCCCCGATTAAGCAAACAGTGCCACATCATCTGCAAAAAGTAAAGAAATTTTGAACTGATTTTATATTCAGTTCAAAATTTCAATTTTTTAGTGCAATCTTCACATACTTTAACCAAAGCACACTCTTTGTTGAATCACCTGCTAATTATATTCACAGTATTCATTCACTGTGTCTTTAGGGATTCACTACATTAGCTTAGTTTACCTTGTGGCTGACTTGCTAGGAGCATGACCTCTTCAGTTGCCTCCTCTACACCTTCTTGCACAGTGTGTACTGTGTTAGTTATGCAAGTTTGTGTGTGTGTGTGTGTGTGTATGTGTTTTCAGACCAACTATCTATCTACCTGTTGTTGTCTGAGCGTCAGGCTCCAGTATTCAAATTTCGTCAGAACAATCCCCAGTGATATTTACAAAGTATGTGCTGTTGCCAAGCTTAAAATATAAAACATTATATAAAATACAATATACAACATTATACAAAAATATTTTTTAGAGTAACCATGTAATAGGCTTCTATTACCTGTAAATGTCAGGTATTTCAGGGTGCGATTCAGGGAGCAGGTGTCTGTCTGGCATTTGTAGAGACTCTCCATAAGTAAAATGCCATTAGTGATGCTGGGGTGTTCCACAGAGACACAGTTTCTTTTCTTGACTTAATTGTAGGAAAAGGTCAACTGAACTAGTAAAGCTCAAGGCAGTCATGGATTTGCCAGTCCCTTCAGATAGAAAACACTCCAGAAATTCTTAAGAGTCACAAATTTCTACCGGAGTTGCATTCAGGATCATTCTGTAACCAGTCTCATCTCACTTAATGTCCCGTTTCAGTGGAATTCAGCAGCCCAAGAAACCTTCAGTGATCTCAAACAGGATTTTTCTTCTGCCCACATCCTTATATCACCCAACTACACCAAAGAGTTCATCATGGAGGTGGATGTATCTGATTCTAGAGTGGGAGCTCCCTGTGCATCCCGATCGTGACTCAAGAGTTGGGAGTTCGCCTTGTAATCGGAAGGTTGCCGGTTCGAGCCCCGGCTTGGTCAGTCTCGGTCGTTGTGTCCTTGGGCAAGACACTTCACCCGTTGCCTACTGGTGGTGGTCAGAGGGCCCGGTGGCGCCAGTGTCCGGCAGCCTCGCCTCTGTCAGTGCGCCCCAGGGTGGCTGTGGCTACAATGTAGCTTGCCATCAGCAGTGTGTGAATATATGTGTGAATGGGTGGATGACTGGATGTGTAAAGCGCTTTGGGGTCCTTAGGGACTAGTAAAGCGCTATACAAATAGAGGCCATTTACTATTTTATTTTCTCTCATTGGGAAAAATGAATTGTGATACTGGAGATTGGAGTTGCTCGCCATCAAGATGGTGCTGGGAGAATTACAATTGGCTGAGTGGAGACTGGCTTGAGGACACGGATTGGACGGACCAAACTCCCGAGAGGATGAATGCATGACAAGCCTTGTGGGCCCTTTTCTTTCCTTGCTTTATCTTCTCCATTATCTACAGACTTGGATCATTAAACCAGATGCTTTGTACAGACCGTTCTCCTCCATGGATAACAAACCCGAAGATGAAACCATCCTACCTCCATCTTGTATCACTGCCTCTCTAACATTGGAAATCATGTCTTTAGAGGATGCTTAGAGGAAGGAACCGGATCCAAGTGGTGGACACCCCAACCAGCTCTACGTGCCCTGCATCCACTTGAAAAATATTCATTGGGTACTTACAGCAAGATTTTTGTGTCTTTCATACCAAATCTTTTCTTCACAATCTGTTCTGGTGACCTGCTTTAATGACAGAAATCTGAGAATATGTCCTTGCCTGTTCACAGAATAAACCTTCCAACACCCTGTAAGAAGGTTTGTTGAGGCCTCTTCCCACTTCAAGCTAACCTTGGTCTCATGTAGCCTGAAACATGAGTTATACTTACCATCATTAACCGGTTTTCCAAAGCAGCCCATTTTGTTGCTCTCCTGAAGCTTCCGTCCATCATCAAAACAGCCCAGCTCCTCATTGAACATGTCTTCTGACTTCATGGAATTCCCACTGATGTCGTGTCTAATATCGACCCTCAAGTTACATCTCCAGTATGGAAAGAGTTCTGTTCAGGACATGAGCTCAGGTTAGTTTATCCTCTGGTTTCCATCCACAGAGAAACACAGCGTATAAAACAGGAGCTAGAATTCGTACTCTGCTGCATTGCCTGTAGAATACAATCCACCTGGAGGGGAATAAGGTGGAATATGGCCATAACACGATGACATCCTCAGCCAGGGGTCTGTCACTGTTTGAGGCATCCCTTGGCTACCAAACTACTTTCTTCCCCCCTGTTTGAGGGTGAACTAATGGTGCCCTCAGCACAGTATCATTTCCACAGGTGTTGCTATCTATGGAAAGCAACCTAATCTGAACTCCTGAGAACCAGAGATCAAAATAAACGTGTAGTCAATCATAATCGAACTCCTGCACCAGCCTATCAACCAGGTCAAAAGGTTTGTTTTTCCACAAAGAACATTCCCCTCCACATGCAATCAATTTCATCAAACCTCTTGAAGTTGTTTCTAGCTCTCTCTGCTTCATCTCTCTCCTTATCTCTTTGTCTGTGTGTGTGTGTGTGTGTGTGTGTGTGTGTGTGTGTGTGTGTGTGTGCAAGTGTGTATTCCGTGTACTTTGAGTACTTTGAGTTTTGTGCATTGTCTGGACTCTTCATAGGTTCCTGCCTTTTGGTTTCTACATAACACTGGATGTCCACTCATTTGTCACTGATGACTTTGTTAGTGCCTCTTCTTAATTGGCTGGTCACAGGAGCACGTTAAGTTTGGGAAGACACTCTAGGAAAGTGTTGGAGAGCTTTGTGTGTGTGGGAGCCTGGCATTGTCACTACTCTTAAGTTCTGATAGTCACACATTTTGAACTGAGAACAAACTGCACTGAAGTTTGAAAGTTGAGACCTGTATTTGAGTCCTGCCTGAGTTGTTTTCGTGAAATGATCAGCATGGTTTTGATCACCATCAGGCCAAATATACAATAATACAGAGTAAAACTGCTAAATGAATCCATCTTGAAAGCTTAGTTTATTAAAATAATTTCAATTACATTTAACTTCCTTAATAGGTTAGTTTTAGAGTGGAGGGTAACAAAGTTAATGCCTATCTTTGAAAAGTCTGGTTGTTTTGTATGTAAACTGCATGGTAAAAGAACAACAGCAAAAAAGACTGAATAACTGTCTTTAATATTTAACATTTTCCAATTAATTCTTTATTTAATATTTGGTCTATACTGTTCAATATATACAATACACACACACACACACACACACACACACACACAAACACAAACACACACATATATATTGACATAAACTGAAAATTTTATGACACAATCCCACGGCCCATAACAGCTTTCTTTGTGTTCATCTCTGGTCTCAACAGGATTATGTAACATTTGGGTCCAAACAGTGTGATCAAGAGTCCAAAACTTGAAGCAAGGATGGCAAATACCTCCACTGCATCTGCAAGTTTTCCTGGTGAGCTGATATAAGCAGGAACAAAGGCCACCCACACAGCACAGAAGATCAGCATGCTGAATGTGATGAGCTTCGCCTCATTAAAACTATCAGGGAGATTCCTCACCAGGAATGCAATTAAAAAACTGAGGAAAGCCAGCACACCAATATAGCCCAATAACACTGCAAAACCAACAGTGGACCCAACTGCACACTCATAAACAATCTTGTCATTGTGGTATTGGGTGTTTTTATGTGGAGTTGGAGAGGAAGAGACAAGCCAGGTAGTGCAGATGGCTGCCTGAATAGATGTAAGAAACAGAACTGTTCCTCTCTGCTGCATAGCACCAAACCACTTCAGACTGGCTCCCCCTCCTGGCTTGGAGGCTTTGAACACAGCCAGAACAACCATGGTTTTTACCAGGATGCATGAGACACAAAGCACAAAGCTGATCCCAAATGCTGCATGCCTGAGTTGGCATGTCCACATCCTGGGCCGTCCAATGAACAAAAGTGAACACAGAAAACACAACATGAGTGACAACAATAGCTGGAAACTAAGTTCTGAATTGTTGGCACGTACTATAGGTGTTGTGCAATGGTAGATAAAGATCCCCAGAACAACAACACATATAAATGTTCCCAGTAAGGAGGTTGCTGTTAAACAAATACCCAAAGGGTCATGATAGGAAAGAAACTCTGTCTTCTTAGGAATGCATAGATCACGCTGGGGGTTTGACCAAAAATCCTCTGGACAACTGGTGCACTCCAACGAGCCTGACAAAAAGGGTTTTATGGTGAAATGCATCCTATATTTCACAGAAATTAAATCAAATATGTCATACAGAAAGATAAACACCTACTGCTCTTGTTAGTGATCTTTCCCTCAGAACAAGGGATGCAATCAAAACAGCATTCGGGCTCCGCCTTCCTTCTCACCATGTGGGTACCAGGAGGACAACTCTCACTGCATACTGATCGAGGTGGCTATTGGACATAAAAAAATAAATATTTATTGCCTGCTACAATTCTATATACTGTAAATGTCAAATAAAAACATATCTAACCTTTTTGGATTCAAAGTTCCAGAATATTTTGTCTTCATTAAGTATGAGTTCTTCACCTTTGAAAGCTGTCCTTTTGACCTCACCCACATTTTGAACTGTAGTGCTTCCATCAGGGAGCCACAACCAGTTAATAACATCATAAATTGGTACAACATCACCATTCTCATCAAATGACACTTGATCCCCAGATGGAGTGGTGAAGTTCACTCTTTCCATGTAATAAACAAGCTGTTTAAAAGAATATAGAATAATTAAATTACTTTTTGCACCAAAAGAAATTATAAAGCAAATGATTTATTCAAAGGTGGAGTGTACAATTATATCACACCTGCCAAGGCTCCAGTGACTGTAAAGTGGCACAGCTGTCCCCACTAAAAGGCCCTCTTCTTGGCTTGCACCGCAGCATATCATCAAGGGAATGTGCAAGAGCATAAACGGCTTTGTACACATTATACTCAGGCCTCAAGTTGGAAATGTCCAAGTACTCAGTGTCAACATTTCCTAGATCTTCCTGTCCAGTGCATATTGCACCCCCACCTTCCACCCAGCCTGCTGGAGCTGGTGCAAATCTGCACTGAAATGTAAATTCCCAAAACTGATTCACCTGAAATATATAGAAAATTATTTGCTACAATTGATGAAAATATATATTTGTTGTGACTATCACTATCACTATGAGCTGTTCGCACTTAAGTAAAAAGCACCATCACTTCATGCGGATACCCTTTCGGAGCCAGCTGCGGTCGCAAGGCTGGAGCCGAACAAAAACACCCTGATAACGACTGTGTTTAGTCTGTTCCTTCCCATTCCATGCAAGGCCACCTGGGTTGGCTGGAAGACTGTTTACTTAGCCTAGCAGGGCAAAGGACACTGTCTCAGCTGAACTCTGTACACGCACACACATACATATACACTGATATGCACACACTCATCCCCCCTCCCTTTCCAAACGCCTTCGATGCTTGTTGCCTCCTGGGAACACGGCGGGTCTGAGCCTGCGCTGGAAGGGTAGCGCTGGGCAGGATGGCTGCTGAGTTTGCTTCGGATTGCTCCTCACCCCCCCCCCACCCTTTCACCCGACCCTGTGGCTTGTCACGTGTTCCATAATGTAATGTTGTGGACATTTATGTGCTTTTTTTGTGCAGAGGAGTTTTTTTGTTTCCAGTTCTCATGCTGTCCTCCCAGGAGCCCAGCATGAGTAGAGGTCTCTCTTGTACTTTCCCATTGTAGTGTATATTTCAGTGTTTGTTTGTTTTTTGTAACACTACTGATCTCCGACCTTTATCCCCATGTGGTGTCTGTGTTGTGTGTATAAGGTCAGGGGGGGTCCTATTTCACTGCAGGGCAAACTGCACGTGACGAATAAAGTCTTGATTGATTGATTTGATTGATTGAAAGGGTTCCACTCTCACCATGCTATTTCCGTAGTTACTGTTGTGATGTTGATCAGGACGTATTTGTAACAGGAATTCCCTGAGCCCTGGTATTTCTCCTCGACGAATGGTGATTCCCAGTGTACCACCCAGGTATGGCATAAAGTGAGGTGTTTGGAGCACAGCAGATTCTGCCCAGGCTTCACTGGCTATCCATTGTAGGCCAGTCACATTTTGCCTTACTACCTGTGAATTAAATTAGACCAAATCTATGAAATGATACTATAAGTAGAACTTCTTTAGTGGCATTATTATGCCAATGAAGCAGCTATTGTAAATAAAATTTATGTAATTATTTTCTGTACCAATTCAACTAATGATGTAATACGTGTTTTACATGATACGGTGATTCAGACTTTTGTAACTAGTAATAATTAAAGTGTTTTAAAGCCAAACCTCTTCCATCAGGCTTATCATACGACTAGGAATTTCAAAGACAATGACAACTCGAGCTGTGGATTTTTTCATCACATCAACAATCCTCCTGAGTTCATCTGTGTCTTTGTCCCAGGGTAAAACCTCAGTGTAGGCCAGGCAACCTTCACCAGACACACTCAGCTCAGACTGAAAGGATCTGGCTGCATGAAGCCCATAATCATCATCAATCACAAGCAGACCTGCCCAAGTCCAGCCGAAGTGCTTTAGAATCTGAATCATTGCACGTACCTAAGTGAATACAGATGAAAGGGTAAGGGCATTAAAAAGTTTAAAAAAACCTTTCAGTGTATTATGTACAATTTAGCTTTTTTCTCTGAGATAATATAGAATTGGAGTGTAGTTGTTAAAAATAATTATATTATAATTTCCAACATTTTGATATCCTTTTGTGTTCTCCCCCTTTACACAAATATTGTCTTCTTCAAAAATACTTTTGTGTTTCCATTGTTATTTTGGTGACAAATTTTCACCTGGAAAGCATCACTTGGGATTGTTCTAAAGAAGGATGGATACTTTTGACGGTCACTCAGGCAGGAACATGTGGCAAAATAACTCACCTGTGAAAGATACAGACTGTATATTGGAGAGCTATCCAGGTAGAAATATCGTAACTTTGTCATCATGACATGACATTTTCAATTATATCAAACTAATCCATGAAAACAGTCACATGGTCAAGCAGAAAACTTACCATAGGTACTCTGTACAAACCTAAGACGCTGGAGATTGCAATTGAATTTGTAGAAGATGAATCACCCACAATCCCTACAACTGGAGGATTTCCAACACATGTATCATCTACTACAATTTGATCCTCTTGACCACTGGCTAATGACAATGCTCCACGGAATCCAATTCCAAGTTCAAGGCAGTTATCATAAACAGTATATCCCAGAGTCACATTAGGGAGCAGGTTTGTGTTTCTGTTGATCTCATCAATAGCAAAGGCCATGGTCTGTGCAAGCTTAAATCCTAAGACATACACACTAAGACAAGAAAAAGTTATTATTGAATAAACAACAAGATTTTTAAAATGTAACATATGTTGCAAAATTACTAATATTATGAGCAATTAAAAAAATTCAACAATAACAATTAAATGTATTGTTTAACATTAATAAAAGCAGCTGCATTTTTCAAGATACATGCATTTTTTCGGAATGGCATAGTTATTTCAGATACAAAATATTTTCTTTGAATTAAGTTTAATAGTTTTCTTTTTCTATTTTTTTTTTGTAGTTTTTTTCCCTGTCATAGTTACCCGTGGCAAGTAGGCTGTTGTGGCTGTGAGGTAAAAGACAGATCAGTAACACTTGAAAAGTGGACTTGAAACAGTCCCCCCAGAACCACATCTCCAGTCTTGTGCATCTCATTTAGATGAAACTGTCCCTGTAGCTGACAGGAAAAAGAAAACTGAGGAGATGATACACTAGAAGTAACACAGGAATTCAGTAAAACAAGCATGACTAAATTGTTTCGCCAAGATGAGCACATGGCGGCTTTCTGCATTTTTTACACCAGTCATTAAGTTTTATTGTTGGCCATTCCCTTTTATTGACATGCTGTGTTGTTTAGTTTTTCACACCACCCATCAGAGAAGAAGGCGGAGCATACTTTTCATTTGAGATTGCTTCAAGCAACCTTACCAATCAAGGGACTTAAAAGAAGAATACCAAGAATTCATGCTTAATGTCTCAACAAGGCCATATTAAAAACTTCTATCCATATTTGAATTGAAACAGAAAACACAATAGTTGAGTGGGCAACAAAAAATATATGAAAGCAAAGGAGGGTAAAGGGTGGTCCCTTTACCCTCCTTCGCTTTCATATATTTGATTTATCTTGGTTTAGATAAATTTATGTTCCTTCTAATAACCCATATCCACTGTCATTCTTTATGGGAGTGCCGAAGTCTAGTAGAGTTCTAAGATGGGGACACAGTCCAGCTCCTCCCTAGGGCGCCTCCTGCAAGAGACGAGCCCACAAGAGGGCAGACCCATTTTTATCTCTTCAAGCTGCACCTGACCAGTCTCTGTTGATTAAGGTCCAGCCATCAGGCACACTCCCTCAAACCCCCTTAGCTTTATTTGGTATTGAGATAAAACATGTATTGCATTTTTAGGTCTATGTATGTGACTCACAAAAGGAGTTGACTTGGAAGTGAACAACTGGGACTTTTATTGCCTCAGTACAACTCATAAACACATACAATCACAATCAACCAAGTTTGCACAATAATAGTGCTTTTTTGGGTGAATAGATGTAAAAAAAAAAAAAAAAAAAAGTTTGTTTTGGACTTTGCTGAAGCTGTCTTAAATGAATAAAACAAATTAAAGTCTTCCCATCCTAAAGTTAGAATATTCCAAACTGAATTGTCCTTTAAAGTTTGTTGAAACCCAAGCAGTCATACTGTTAGGGACGTGTCAATGTCCAGACCCTATTGTCTACTACCTGGGTAGGACTAATAGTGCATAAGGCATAACTGAAATCCAAGTTATTGCTTGAATCAGTTCTTCTGAGAATTCCCATATTCTGATTGCATGGCTTGGTACACCATTTCACGATCATCCAGGATCTCATTTGGGTGGGACTCACCATCAGTGGTTCTCCAGAATCCTTTCTAGCAGTTAAAAAAATAATCCTCATAAACAGTGCAGAACAATAAATTCCCATTCCATTTTCTTTTCTTTTCCTAGTCAATGACTCATACCACATCACAAGACAGCTACAGAATCTGTGAGATGTCGGCTTTCAGCCCAGATGGCGTGTCTGTTTATGTGCTGTCAGGTGAGACGAGCTAAAGAGCTTTATCTGCTCTCATTTGCTGTTTTAGCTGTTTGGTGGTTGTTGAAATAGTTGTGAGCTTTAACCTGAGATTCTGGGGTTTCTGGGAAAATACATTTATATTTAAAAATCAATTCAGGATATAAAAAATCAATATTGCTAAAATATCAAGCTAAAATCACTTTGAATCAGGAAATCGATTATTGAAATCCACCCTTAATAATCACTGTTTACAATGAAAAGTGTTGTTTTCATCCTTACATCTTAACAACTAAATGTAACTTAATATACAGTGCAAATACTTTAAAAAAAAAAAAATAACCTAGCCTGGCTTTTTAAGAATGAACCTTTTTAATATAAACGGAGAAAGTACCTATATTTAATTACCTCCCCCTACTGTGATATGGCTAGGAGGCATTCTCATAGCTGAGGTTTCTGAGCTTAATCAGCTAGTAAAATACATTATCTAAACTTAGATCTCACGGGAAGGGACAGACAATGCTTCCTGTGCACAAGACGCAAGGTCATAAACGCAAGACAGCTTGACAGCACTCCCGTGTGATAATAATAAGCAATAGCTTTAAATGACGAAAAGGGGTTTGTAGCCTTGAATTTCACATGGGTTACACTCATCAATGGTGACGACATAGTACCTGATGCTCTTTATTTGATGCTGCTAATGTGTCAATAAACAGAGTATTACACTGCTCAAAAAATTAAATGAACAATAATTTGAAAACAGATCAGATCTCACTGGGGGAAATTTAGGGGGAAACTTAGAAGTTGAGGCTGTCTCCCCACTGACCTTAACATTAGTCTATTGAAAGATCGAATGAGCAAAACCAGAGACTTCAGTTGACAGAACAGGTGGAAACACAAAACAGTCACTAAGAGGAGCATCGTGGTTAGCAGTCTCTAGGAACAACTAGGAGCACGGGGTCGAAACAAAACAATCAGTCTCTGACCCTGTTAGCTTAGCAGTGGTTGGTCCAAAATCAAAATGCTCAGGCTGAGCATGACAAAAACAGTCACTTTCACTCACCAACGGGGTTTTCTCAGCATGATGGTGGTGTGAACGCCACTTCCTCCAGGAAGGGGGAGGAGGCGAATTGGGCCACAAATCCTCCGGAGGGTTGTGCCCCGAATCCTCTGGTGGGCCAGGCTGAAAATCCTCTAGCACGCCATGCTGCGGCTGCTGCTGTGGGCGAATGTGCATGGTAGTGATGAGGAAGTCCTGAATAAGAGGATGTAACGAACTGAATCTAACCACGGAAGTCCTGAAATCATCCTCTTTAAACGAAGAGCTATCTCCTACTGGTATTCCTCAATAGGGATTGCTAACTACTCCTGACACAGAAACTCCACCATGTAAATAAGGTCCTCCTGGAGCTCAGCGGAGGGATTGTGAACTGCTGGGTCTATTGTGTTGTCGCAATCCTGTGTCATAAACTGTGCGCGGCAAACAGAATTGGACCCAAATGCAGACTCGTCAGGCAATTGAAAAGTAAACTCAAAAACAGCTGTATTGCTGAACACACGGAAAAACAACCTTAACTAAACTGGGAATACAAAATTAACTAGATTGGCAGGCAGCAGTAAATAGGTCGTCAGAGGAGGCCGAGATGATGATTAAGTTTAACATTGCCCACAATATTGCCAAAGAGTGCCAAAGCACTTAAAGCACAAGCACTTTTTCAGTCACTTATCTTTCTTGTAAAACTGTGCTCCATCTGCATCTGTGGAACGAACATATGGCACCTTGGGACAAGTGAGTTTACTATATTCCCGGATGAATCGATGGTTAAAATTGGAGAACCCCAAGAATCATTGAAGCTGTTTCCGTGTGTCCGGGACGGGCAACTCAGTGATTGCCTGTAGCTTAGCCAGGTCTGTCTTCACCTGCCCTCCTGATAGAATGAAGCCAAGAAAAAGAAAAGTGGTGAAAACTCGCACTTTTCAGCTTTCACATAGAGTTGATTTTTCAGGAGCCGCTTTAAAACACTCCAAATATGGGTCCAATGCTCTGCCAGAGTCCAGAAGAAAATCAGGATGTTGCCAAGATAGACAAAAAAGAACAGGTTGAGAAAGTCTCTCTTACTAGAGCCTGGATATCAGCGGAGGCATTGGTAAGGCCAAAGTCCACAACAAATGGACAAAAGTCCAACAGATATTCGAAGTACCCTAGCAGGGTGTTAAAAGGTGTTTTCTACTCGTCAGGGCCAAAGCAGATGCACTCAGGTAGCCAAGGTGTTGAGTGCTGCAGAAACCGTCAACAGCGAGGCAGGGCACATGGCTACAGATAAAGTGGTCTAGCAGAGGACTAGCAATGAGGGTGAACCCTTCTGGTGGCTGATTTTTAAGCTCTGGAGGCAACACTTGTGGCCAGTAGAGAAACCAGTGTTTCTCGAGCGGTCAAGTAGTAGAAAGGCCCACAGCCAACTAGAGTAGGTAAGTGGCCTGATGTGAAGGCAGAGTTACATATAGGTGATGGACAGGTCCATTCACGGGGTTAAACTTGTGGCCAGCAGAGAAGGCAGATCTTTTTAGTGGGGTGACCCCAGTGAGGAAGACCTGGTGACCTGGTGAATGGGAATCACCCTGGTGGCAAGGATCGAAAGTGAACTCAGTAGTTCTGTAGCCCAGCTTCAAACCCGGAAGTGTCACAGAACTGGGTCTGGGACCCAGTGTGTTTTGATTAGTTATATATTTGGATTTGTTGGTTTTCATGGTTTTGATTCTCATTATTGTTTTCTGCTTATGTTATATTCTTAGTTTCTAGTCCTTAGGTTTCTGTTACCTCGCTTTCACTGTGTTCCACGTTTCATGTTCTATGTTCGCTCTGTCTTCCGTGTCAGCCATGTCTCCTTGTCAAGTCTACATCTCAATGACTTTCTTGTATTTCCTGTTTTACTTTGATGGTCTCATGCACTGTGTTCAGTGTTTTCAGTTTTGCTTCCTCCCTATCTTGTTATGTCAGATTAGACTCATCTGTGTTTCCCTCCTGTTTCCCATTCCCTCACCACTCCCTGGTGTATTTAAGCCTTGTGTTTTCAACTGTCCATTGTTGCGTCATTACCCTTTCTGTGCTGTGTGTTTCGTCCGAGCTCCTAGTTTCCATTGTTACTCGACAACTCCTCTACTCTCTACTACTCGTTCCTAGTTTTCTAATTTCCAGTCATGTTTTCTTTCGTGTATTTCAACTTCAAGTTTTTTTATAGGGCAATAACAGCTGCCTCCTTTAGTTCATCCTTACGTGTCGTAAGTCCTGCCCTGCATTTGGGTCCTACATCCTGCCTGCCCTAAAGCCAAAATGACAGGAAGAGTAAATGAGGCTGAAAAGTGGCCAGACCGCTAAGATCAAATACAAGGTATAAAGATGATGTCAGCCAGCTCAGGTTCTAATGTTTGAAATGAAGTGTGGATGGAAGACAGCAACACCACATCCTAAACCTCAAATATTGTGGGCTGCTGTATTTTAGATCAGCGGTCTGCAACCTTCTTTCCACCATGGACCGGTTTAATGTCAGACAATATTTTCACAGACCGGCCTTTAAGGTGTCGCGTATGAATACAACAAAATAAAATGACAAGGCAAAAACTGTGGTATGTTGTAAATATTATAATAAACTCAAATACACTGTTTAATTGTATAACTTTATTAGCAGCGAAATGTGGCAACAACATTGAGAGTAACATCCTCCTCTCTGCCCCTTAATGCTGTCTGGTCACTATGGTCAATATTTCTTTAAAATTAAGACACACGACTACAACACAGGAAAAGACCCAGGGAAACCGAGTTAACAATAAAAAAAAACTATTGTTAACTTGTTAACTATAAATAAAAAATAAAAATAAATTTCACACCCAAGCTTCAGCTCTCACGGCCTGGTACCAAACAACTCACGAACCAGTACCAATCCGTGGCCCAGGGGTTGGGGACTGCTGTTCTAGATTATCTTGGGGCTAGCTCAAGCACAGAAACTCAAGCTATGAGGATTAGCTCAAAGAAAGCCCAAATTAAGCAGCAGCCAGTACATAAGAAAAGATATGATGAACTGGTAGCAGGGAAACCGCTACACCCAGTCACAGGGGAGGCTAGCTCATGTATCAGAAACAGACCCAGGATACACTGTTTTCTGGCTAGCTAGCTCAGGCAATAAAAACACATTCACAGTTTTGGGGCAGCAGCAGCACAGACAGACCTGAGTAACTCAGCAATATGTCTTTAAAAAAGGACAGTGATTTTCCCAAATGCAGTGGGAAGGCAGGAGAGATGATGCAATTTTAAAGCAGAAAGGTTGACCATGGCCTGAGTGGCACCTGATTAAGAAGCTGGAGGGTCAGGTGAAACTAGATCTTTAACTTTAAGCCACCCAGCACAAGAGGAACAGAAGATAAGGGAGTCATTCTGTGGGTATGAGGTAGCATATTTGATTTCAGGTAAGGGGAGATAATTAAACTGAAGGTATGTAGTTGTCCCTTTACATAGAGCACCATCCAACCAACCATCCAATGTTTGTCAGAAGCCAGCATGGTGCGCAACAGTCAGCATAGAAAGCAAGACCTTCCTCTCCCCAGCCACTTGCTTAAGTTCATCCATGGGGATTCTGAACCATTTACTGGCAAACACTGGTGAGTTTGCCAATGGAGACCTAAATTATTCAGAAAAGGCTTGGGAAAAAGAGTTTTCTTAATATGAAACCCAAATTGAGTTCTTTGGTATCAACTTGAACCGCTTTGAGAAGAGAAATGCTGAGTATGACCCAAAGGACACCACCCCCATATTCAAGCATGGCTCTGAAAACATATTTTGGGCTGTTTTTCTACTCAGAAAGATGTGATGCATGGGTGCATCTGGTTACTCATGAAATGTCTTAGCCACTCTTCAGACCTAAGTAACATAGAAAATCTGTGGAGGGCTCTGAAACCTTTGAACCTAAAGGATTTAAAGAATTCCTGTAAAGAGAAGTAGGGCAAAATCCCTCATGACATGTGTGCAAACCTGGTGACTGACTACAATAAACATTGTACTACTGTGATTGCCAACAAGCGTTTTTCCATCAAGCCCTCGTTCATGGGGATCAAATAGTCCTTTTTGTCCTTTTACTTAGTGTAAAGTACTACTTACTTAGATTTTATTTATTTTATCAATAAATAAAATCTAAAAAATCTAAAAAAAAAATACAAATTAAAACATCCTAAAATGAAGCTCTCTCTCCCTTAAATCCTAAACAGCACTATCATAAAGCAACTGTCTCTGCTCGCCTTTCTGTAAAAGTCCCTGCACACCCCTTCTACACAAAAATGTAACTTTGACAATATAAGAGAACAGTAAAGTATATGAAGTGATTTTTGATTTAAATAATTTAACAAATGCTTCTTGACCATTTTGATTGTACATATTTTATTTGACGTTTCCAGTTGATTTTATAGTCTACAAAAAATCTTGTATACTCTCTATCTCTGTTTATCATCACATTTACATCCATGCCTGTCCTAGAATTTCCAATTATCATAAATTTTGTTTTGCTTAAAATCAGTGATAATTTCTTTTATCTAACAATCATTCTAGTTTAGTCAAATTTTGTGAGGATCTCCAAAAAGTGCTGTTTATGCTCTCCATGACATAAAATAAATTGAACTGTGATATATCTAATGCTCTACATCATTTTATACAAGATCGTGAGTTTTGGGCCCAATATTTACCCAAGTGGGCCTTCACAACCAATGCTCAAACATTTTGATGAATGTTTACCCATCTTCATAATTTGTTGCTTGTTGTTTAAATAACTATTCACCTCTCTAATGGCATTTTCAATTTATTAAATAATATCTAGTCAATTGCATCATAAGCTTTTTTCAAGTTTCAAGTTTCAATGTATTATTGTAGGGTCTACCTTACAATATAAAGTCCTTGAGGCAACTTTTTTGTGATTTGGCGCTATATAAATAAAATTGAGTTGAATCAAATTGAATTGAATTGAAGTTGATAAAAGCTCTGGCTGTGTACTTTCTTTGATCGATACGATGTTTTGTGTTTATGTGTGTAGCCAGTCTCTATTATGTGAACGACGATGTCCACTGTATGCAGGATGGTGAAGGTGGAACATCCCCCTCTGATGTATTTTTAATAAATTAAGTCAAGGTTTATGAGAATATAGAAATTTCTTGGAAGATGCAATAAACACAAGTCAGTATATGTTTATAGGAACAATATT